AATGAGCGTGGGCAGGCTGGCTCCCCTCTCCTGTCTGTTCTGCAACCATGTAAGAGAGAAGCAGCCGATAACATGCCTCTGAGATCCAGCTGTTCTCTTCCCTTTTTTTTACCCCTTCCTTTTCACACATTGAGCACCTACTCTCTGCTGGCCACCAAGGACACAGGGATGAGTAAAAGGCATAGAGTCCCTCTCTGAAAGATACCATAATTCTAGTTGGGGAAAGATCACCGACAGGGAAATAAAAACACAACCCGATAGATGGGATTATGAGCTCTGCACCAAATGCTGTCAGGAGAGAGAGGCAGGGAAGGACATCTTCGTGAAAGCTCCATGAAAGTTGGGTTTTGAAGGATGAATAGGAGTTTTTCTGGTAATAACAATCATTTCAAGCTGACATTTATTAAGAACACGTTTTACTCTAGAGTTTTTTGAGTGCCTTTTGGCTATTATTTGACCTTTCAAACAATACCTAGCATTTATTGAACGCTTACTCTATGCCAGACACTGTTCGAAGCATCTACTAGTCTCATTTAACCTTCAGGATGACTCACTGTGCCTCCTTATCCCCAGAATGCAGGCAGTGAGGCCAGGGAACGTGGGGGTGGGGAGGACTTGTCCAAAGTCTCTCAGCCAGCAGAGGGGTAGGGCTAAGATGTGAACCAAGGCAGACCAATTCAATGACCGTGGAGCTCACCACTACCTTCAAGGATTTCTTTTCACAAAATTCTTCTTCCGTGCATTTGAAGAAGAACATGGAGGAAATGCTCAGCATTAGCGCCCTAAGGTGGCGGAAGAGGGTGGGTTTGGAAAACACACCTGCAGCTGGAGAGTTTCTCCCCTGGGTTGACCTGAAGCCCGAATTGCCACCTTGCCCCTGGTAGGAGTTGATCAAGGGCAGTGTGGGCAGCTGTCCATCTCTCCTCTCCTTGAATTTAGGTGGGTAAAGTGCAGACCCTGAGCAGGTTGAAGAGTCAGGACCCTAAGCCTGCGTACAATCGAGGAAGGGGATCAAAAGGGGAGCCTGGGAAGGACCACTCTGGAACATAATTGAGCGTAATCTTGTAAAGTCAAACACAAGAGGTGAGTTATGGGTGTTCTGGGTAACTAACCGGGATGGTGTGGTTCTTTCTCTCAAGCTGAGATGTGGACTTTCCAGTTCACTGCATACCCCGAAACCCAGAAATGTCAGTCCTAGCTATAAACCCAAGAGACCTTCCAGAAGCCGTGGATTCAAAGCACCAGTGTTTATAATTACATAATTATTTCGAGATCTATAAACATGAGATGAGACAAAAAAAAAATAAGCAAAGAAATGATAAAGACAACACTCAGGACAACACTATGTGCTTAGATCAGTTGACTTGGGAGGGGAAGGACCCACAGGTGGCCTCAGCAAGGTTGGTCACCGTCTTGTTCACCCCCCTGAGGGTGTTTCTCAGAGGGGTGGTGGGTCTGTGGGTGCCATTTACAAAAATTATACTTTAAAATGTTCAAATTCATTAATAGGCTCTGTTATCTTCATTAAACATGATATGATGAAGAATTTTAAAAGAAGTAATGCCATGGGAATCCATGCTGAGACCATCTTCCCACCATAGTTTAGTGGAGTGGGGGAAGGGCGGAAAGGGCAGACCTTGTTCACGCCTCAGGGATGCTCCGAAGATAAAGAGCCCCAGACCGAGGCCAGAAAGAGGAGGCAGGTCTGGCTGTGGGCTCTGCCCTGGGGAGAAAAGCTGAATGAGGCAGGGCTTCATTGAAGCCCAACGAAGCTTCAGAATTGGGATTAAGAACAGGAAGTTCTAGACGTCCAAGTTCTGTAGACCGACGTGGGGCTCTAACTCACAAACCGTGAGATCATGACCTGAGCCGAAGTCGGATGCTTAACTGACTGAGCCACCCAGGCGCCCCATAGGATGGGCATTTAAAATGAATTAATGTCACACACCCACCCGCTTACGACAAACCTCTTTAACACCTGCTTACCGAAACAGCTTTAACCGAACACAGAAATGCTCAGAACCATTTGGGAATCTACTCTTTTTTATAGGGTGGCCCAGCTGAAAGTCTTCTCAAGCAGAAAATCATTTACAATGGAAAAACACCCCAAACCAGCGCTTTAACACCTACCAATCTAGACTCCGTATTATAACAAGAGCCATTATTATATCTTCATCATATAACTAATAATAATAGTAACTAATAATGACAATTCTACTAGGTTCTAAGTTCCATGAGGGTAGAGATTGTTGACTGTTTCTTTTCCGTTCCTGTATTTCCTGTGCCTGGCAGAAGGTACTCAATAAATTGGAATGAACGATAATAAATTTTAAATGATGACTTCTATCACATTTGCATGGTTTTCAGGACATTTTCATGTATATTATCACATTCCTCTAAATAGTATATGTCATGGACAAAGGGCAGGGAAAGAGGAGGTCATAGATGCTACCTGGAAGGACAGGACAGATTGTTTTGAGCGGAAGTAAGGGAGTCATGGCTGACAGCATTCTCTTCCTAGACACCGGGCTGCTGGTAAACCCAAACTCCAGGCTATGACCTGAATGGGGCCATCACCCACTGTTTGTTAAATGCATAACTCACCAGAGCCACGAAGCAGTAACATGCTTGCTCCAGGGGTCTCTTAGCAGGGGCTCTGGGGACATTGCCCCAACCTCTTGGCTATTGCTCACTTTCATCCCAGGTGTCCATGCATCAAGAAGACTTTATTAACCACCCACTGAATGGGGTGAGGAAGAGAGAACTGCCTCATAGGCAGACATGAAAAGTGGAGGCCTTATATATGATGGCCAGGGCCCGGGAGGGGTTGAAGAATGAATATACCAGCTCCTTTACTCTCCAACTGGGCTACCTGAGGTGTGTGCCCCACCCTGTCTCCCAGAAATCCCTAAGCAGGATGGACCCCAGTTTCCCACGGTGGTATCTACTCAACAAAGTTCCCTTCTCCCTTTCCTTGTCTCACTCCCCTCCACTCCCACCAGTGCTCCCTGAGACTCCCTCATCCCTGTAAAGAGAAAGTGCTTACGAACTTGTCTGATTCTGGGATATCCCAGTCTAAGACAGTGGGCAGAGTGGACACCTGCTCTTCTGCCTACTCAGCACTCATGCCCCCTTCTTCTGGAACCTTCTGCCACTCTCATCCTGTGGTCTGGTTGGTTGGGCTGACTCCATCCCTGAAATCCAAGGGCGGGCACTTGATTCAGACATCCCACTGGCTTCCCTGAGTGTCTAGACCAGGGGTTAGCAAACGCTTTCTGTAAAGGGCCAGATAGTAAATGTTTGGACTTGTGAGCCATGGAGGTCACCCCACTGTAGCTCAACAGCAGCTTTAGATGACACATAAACAAATAAGCATGGCCGTGTCCCAGTAAGCCTTTATGGACACCGAAATTTCAGTTTCATATAATTTTCACATGCCATGATACACTGTTCTTTTGACTTTTCCCCCCCAAACACTTAAAGGTGTAAAAAGCACTCTTAGTTTGTGGGCCACACAAAAACAGATGGTGGGTCTGGTCTAGACCCTAGATTGATGACCAAAGCTGAGTCAATCAAAGATAGTGACCATCGGCCACAGGACATGGACTGATAATTTTGGGGAAAAGGCACCCTCTTGCTGTTGAAGCCGCTAAGCTATAAGAACGTGCCTTGGACATTCCAGGGGTATCATGGGAGAGATTCTGCTTAAGAACGAAGCCCATATGTACAGGACAGCAGATCCCAGAGATGGAGAGAGAGACAGAGACAGAGACTAAGACAGAGAGGGAATATTAAGTCCTGATGACATCTTTTGAGAAGCAGGATCCAGCCATGCCTGAAGCCAATCACTCTTGGATTTTCACAGTCAAGAACTAATAAATTACTTTGCTTTTGCTTGTGCTTATTTGAGTTGGTTTTCCGTCACTTATAACGCAGAGTCTTGAATAGCACAGTGGGGATTTCAGAGGGGGTCTCCCAGGGAAAGTAAAAAGAGAGGAAGTCTTGAAGGACAGGGAAAGGTAGTCTGTGTCTCGGCAAAGGTCTTGTCACTTCCCTGTCTCAGTTTCCTATTCAGTGGGCAAAACACTCTGTTAATTCAGAGTCCAGATGGCGATCTATCCATATTTTTGTAAAACCTTGGACATAAGGCTCAATACTTCTTGTCATACTGAGAGCGCTAACAAGCCGTGATATGTTGGACAGAATAAATCAATGCCTTCATGGCGGCACACTGACTAAGCTGCTGAGAAGCTGAACAGAACGCAACGCACAGGGCCTGTGTTCCCGCTTTATGCAACGCAAGGAGACTTTAGCGTTTTTATTAAGCACAGAAGTAACCAATGATGTTGGCTGGGATCTGCCAGGTGCAGAGGGAGGAGGGTGAGGGAAGGGGAGCAGGAAGGGGTTCAGGAGGGAGGAGCTGCATTAACACAGGAGGAGTCCAGACAGTGACAGGTGAAGAATGAGGCAGCGGTGGGGGGCTGGGGGGGCACTACCTGGCAGTTTATCTAGAGAGCATAACAGCACCTCAATCTTCTTTCTCTCCGCTCACTTTGCAGGCCCCTGGGGTGGGCACCTGACTCAGGCCTGCAAATTAAAGCACAGCATCCCTCGGCCTCAAAGGTCAGCTCAGGGTTGGCCATGTCACCTACGATGAGCTCTTCCTGGGACCTCTCCTTGAACGACTGCTCTTTGGAGCTAATGTTCACAGAACATAAGTCCAGAACTCCCGATGGCCTCTTGCTATGAGTCAGGGAGATCCTGTCTGAGAATGAAGATAACATGATGGAGAAAAGAGTCTAGAGAGAGGCAGCCTCATGATGACATCATTTGAACCTCTGGATCCAGCTGTGCCTGAAGCCAACTATTGGGTTTTTGAATAACATGCACCAATAACAACCCTCTCTAATCTTTTTTTAATTAAACATTTCCTCCCACCTAACCCAAACAGTCTTGACTAATGCAGCCAGAAAGAAGGCTCACATGCTGGCCAATGTCACTGTTATCTGCCTCTGACTAACCAGGGGCTGGGGCAGACGTGGCCTTTAAGGTAAAGCCTAAGACTTAGGTTGGTTCATAAGGCTCTCCGGTATCTGCTGTCTTCCTGTCTTTCCAGGCTCGTTTTCGGCATTCTGGCTACACTGGCCTCGTCCCATCTCTGCAAACGGGTCTCACCTCTTCCTCCACTGCGACCATCACTCGTGCCTTTCTCTCTGCCTGCAACACTCCCTTCCTCCCACCTGCTCCTCACACATCCACCTTCCCACCCCAACACACACACACACACACACACACACACACACACACACACACACGGAACAAGGCGGCAAGCGCTTATCTCTTATTCTTGGCTTAGAAGTCACTTTCCCCAGAAAGTTCTTAGCGATGCCCTCCATCCCTGTTACTCTATGCCTAAATAATTCTGTACTTCCTCTCATTTCATAGCACAATTTCTAGCATCCACGAGGCACTGATTCAATATGTGTTGAATGAGTGAATGAATGAACAAAAAGCAACAAACTCATCTGTAGCTCCACTATGGATGCCCTTCGTGGTTCAAGGGACTTGGGACAGTCAAAACACCATTAGTTGTCTATCCGGTTTCCCAGCTCTCCTCTTCTTTCTTGCTAACAGAAACCCTGCTTGTTCAGAGTGACAGCCTCAGCCTAGAAGAGGGACCGTGACTGGCCTAAGCCAACCGATATATCCTGTTCCCCACTTTCCCAGCTTCTCTTGCGGCCAATGTGGCCACGTGATTCTACCCTGGCCAATGAGACATAAGTAGAAGTCTCCTCAGGGCTCTCCTGATAAAAAAGAACAGGGGTGCCTGGGTGGCTCAGTCAGTTAGGTACCCGACTTCAGCTCAGGTCACCACCTCACGGTTCATGAGTTCAAGCCCCGCATCGGGCTCTCTGCTGTCAGCACAGAGTCCATTTTGGATCCTCTGTCCCACTCTCTCTGCCTCTCTCTAACTCATGCTTGATCTCTCTTTCTCAAACATAAATAAACATTTAAAAAGGGGGGGGGGCAAATGTTGCTGTCACTATCTCTCTTGCCCTCTTCCTGCCTTAAATGCAAATGTGGTGCCTGGAGCATCAGCAGCCATTTTGCGACCATGAAGTAACAAACCACCAACCTCTGGATGGCGACTCAGAAAGATGGAAAGAGGCTGGGCTCTTGATTCTGCTGTTGAGATGATGCACCAGGCCAGTTCTACCGACCACTGGATTCCTTATTTGGTGGAAAACAAAACCAGGCCCCATAGTTTAAGCTGCTTTTCGTCGGGTTTCAGTAACCTTCAGCTGAAAGCATTTGAAAGGGATGTGGCATCGTCATCTTTGGGGGTAGCTTATAATTGTCAGGTTGGCTGCCCCAGAGTTCAGGACTCATTCGTTCTGGTTCTGAGAGTCTGCTTCACAGAGGAATCACTCCCAGAGCTCCTGTACCCCTGTCTCAGGCCAGGAAGGATCTAATTACCCAGTGATTGTAGTAATTATTCCATCCAATTGATCTGTAATCACTGTAATTCCTAAACACGGTTTCCCATTAATAATTTGCAATGTATTTATTGTTTATACTCAAATAAAATAGGCTGATAATAAGACTATTGAGATGCAATCCCCAGGGTCCTGAATATTTACAAAGCACAGCGGTACATGTTTTAACTGTAACAATGTATGTTTTTTTCCTCCTTCTAAAGAGCAACTGTTTGCTCACAGAAAACTCAATTATCACAATTCTGGCCTGAAAGCTCCCTGAATGGTGACGAGGTAGCCCACTCTGGGGATGACACAGAGTGTTCAGCGATTGGTTGTGGGTGCCTGCATTGGGCAGGGGAGGGCTGAGGTGTGGCACGTGTGCTGGCATTTTCCACCTCTGGCTTACGCACTGCCCTTCTCTCTCCAGCCGCATTTGCTTAATAATACCAACCTTCAGACAAGAAGTGGGTACAGCCAACTTTTATGCAAACAGAGGAGGGATGAAAGGAACCCCAGCCTATTTCTGGGGCTTCCCATAATGATAGGTGAAACCTATCAAGATGGGGCCTCCCGTTCTATCTTAGGAAGGCCATCCTTCAAAGGGCTGGGGGCTCATAAGCCCCATAAACGTTCCTATTTATCACTCCCATGGTCAGATGGGCGTGTGCTCCAGAAAACGGAAGCTCGCAGGCAGAAGGACCCTGCCGGGTGGGCTCTTCACCAGCCTTTGGGGTTCGTCTCTAAAAGCTTCCCCTCTGGAATCCCCTCCATCGTCCAACTTCCTCTTGAATCCAACAGCCACTGCCTGAGCATTTTTACCATCTGCCACAGGCCCCGCATGAGGGCGAGGCCAAGTCCCCACACCCAGAGTGCTTAGAGCTCCCTCTCGAGCGTTCTCAGGCGGACCACCACCGCGGTCGGACCCCTGAGGCTGCCTCAGGGAAGGTTACATTTGACAACAGGTGCCTCGGACCTGGCTCACGGATCCCACCCTTTCCCGGGCGAGGAGAAAGGCCTAGGTGTATAAAGATTTGCACACATTACTGTATTTAGCCTTACGGCGTTTGCAGTAGGCTGGGACTGAGTCCCACAGTACACATAAAGACAGCGAGGCTGGGGGTGGGGGTGGCGTGCTTGGCAGCTGAGTCCGGGTTTGAACCCCACTTGGTCTGGCCCCAAGGCTTTATTCTCTTCCCTGTGCCACTTTGTCCCTCCGTGGGATTATATGCATGTGATCAGAGCGAGGGGCACCCGCGCTATTTTTAACCCAGCTTCCCAGCCTGGCACGCCGACGGTAAAAGCAAACAAAACTGGGGTTCGTCCTTCAACAGGTGCGTGTTGGCAGTGAGGTGGGTGTGCCAGGTTCTGTAGAGACTGAGATGAAAAAGACCCAGTCGCCGCCCCAGGGGAATTGACAGTCTTGCTGGAGAAACGGACGAGAAAGATCCGACAAAACCACCCACGGGGGAGGGGAGGGGCCAAGGCGGGGGCCAAGGCTGGGGACGCGCGAAGCAGGGGGAGACACTCCTGGAGAACAGGGTATCTCATCCCCAAGGAGCAGCAAGGGAGCTCTGTAGAGGTTTCTGGAAATTGCAACCCAGCTGTCAGAGAGTGTTGGTGAAGGCAGTGCAGGCTGGGGGCAATTTCAGAAGCAGGCGATGACTCACCCTGTGTTTAACAGAAACTCTTTTTTCACGATACAACATCCACGAAAATAAACCCATATGGCCAGCCTCGGAGCGCCTGACAATGAGGCAAAGATCCTGCCCGTTAGGAGCATCAACGGATAATTGGAACGCGCCTATCGTCAGATGCTGGGAAATTTCCTCTTCTCTCCGTTCATACCTTCTTTTGCAATCTGGGAATCTGAGAGGCACAATCACGGGAGGCTGCCGCAGAACTCTTCCACGTGGCTCCCGAAAGGCAGGGGGACCAGGGGGAAGCAGGGACCTGCTTTTTTGAGGACTTGAAACAGCCCAGGCTCAGCCCCTTCCTTGCCGTGTGGCCTCCGGTGAGCTTTTGAACCTCTCAGATGTCATGACTGTCCATTCAGCTGTCCACTCATTCAAAGCTAAGAGCTAGAGACGCCCACGTGTCCTCCTAGAGGGCGTGGGCCGGAGAGACAGAGAACTAAACCCACAGTGACAAGTGACAGGTGCGGTCTGTGGTCACAGAGGCTGGGAGTGGAGAGGCAGGACAGGAAGGCCAGTCCTGGAGGGTCAAGGATGCCCAGGATAAGGTCCACAGGATAGACGAGCAGGACTTGATCAAGTGATGAGGGCACAAAACAGCTTGGGGACTAAGCATACATGCCTTATAGATGGAGGACCTGTGTTCCAGTCCCAGTTCCGTGCCGTCCTGGCGGTGTGCCCTCGGGCAAGTCTCTCTCTGCCTCCGTTTGCTCCTCTGGAAGACGGGGTGATGACGAAAGCGGATGGCTCATTGAGGTTTTGTGAGGATGACACGAGTTTCAAGGCGAAGCACTTACACCTGGACACAGAGGCTGTTCTGTTACACATGGCAGCTCGACGTATGTCTCATACACGCTTGTTTAAATACGGTCTAGGGACGGCACTAGGCGACTGAAACAGCACAGGGTGGGGAGGCACAAGAAAGGAGCAATGATGGCATTTTCTAGGAGAGCTGAGGGGACCTTCCAGGTGGAGACGGCAGAAGCTGGCTCAAGAGAGGAGTGCCAGAGCTATACCCTGGAGGGTCCAGAGCATCCCGGGTGCATCCCACGAGCCGGACTGTGCTCTCTGGCCCAGAGCCTCACAGCCTGATATACGCAACCCAGCCCTTCGAGATCCCCTGACTCAAAGGCGGTTCCTGCCTGATTTTGTTTTTTATTTTTTTTAACGTTTTTATTTATTTTTGAGACACAGACAGACAGAGCGTGAGCAGGGGAGGGGCAGAGAGAGAGGG